CGCGTGCGCGCGATCGGACGGCCCAGATCCATTCTCGCGCGCACGGATGGTCCAAATCAAAAGTGCGCATAGACGGCCCAGATCTCACGCGTGCGGACGGTCCAGATTTGATCACGCACGGACGGCTCAGATCGCATCGCGATGGACGACCCATATTTATTTCTAATTTAATCGAAATCGGACAGTCCATATTAAATCATGATGGACGGCTCATATTAAAAGGAGAGGGTTATAAATAATCACATCTACATCCAACACCAAACCCTAGCCGCCAGAACCCTCGCCGAAGAAGACGACCCAGCCACTGGAGGAACCGGCCGCCGCCACCCGCCGCAGCACCGGAGGATTTTTTGGCTGCCAAACGAGGTAAAATTTTTCTCATTGGCTCGTTTTTCGATGTTGAACCTCTCTGTGGCCAAATCGTAGCCAAACCACTGGCCAATTGGCCGAAAAACACCGCCGAAGCCCAGCAGCGCCGCCGCGGGTTTTCTTGATTTTTGCCTCCAATGAGGCCCTTCCCAGTTCTCGTTCGATGTAACTTTTATACCACCGTGACCACCGTCCTTTTCTCTACAGGTTGACAGGAGCAAAATACCAAACTGCAACTCGCGCCGGAGGAGTCGCCGTACCCGAGAGCCCTGCCGCCGGTAAGTCTCGATTTTTTGTAATTTTTTGGGCCACCGAGGGCTCTAGAGGTGTTTTATCACAGGAACCAATGCAAGTTTGGCCGAATTCGGCCAAAAACGGCCAACCTGAGGCGGATCGCTAACGCCGGCGGCGGCACCGTCGCCGGAGCACGGAGGAGCCGCCGTGCCGGAATTTAGAAATTGGCCAAAAGGGTCCTGGGTCTGATTTGGGGTTTTTTGGGGACATGTGCAGGTATCAGAAGTGTGTTTCAGTTTCCGGAAAAAAATTTAGGGAATCTAAGAACTGTCCGTAGGTGCAGTGAGAACCCGATTTGAGACTCTGAAACAAGTAAGGATCTCTCACCCTATTTCCTATCATGACATTAAAGCTTAATAAATGATTAAACGGTATTTTATGAATTTATAGATATGTATAATTAATTAAGATTGCTAATGGGGCCCGAACATGATGTATTTATCAGTCTGTTTCTGTTTGATGTATTTTACAGTCTAAATGCAGTATAGTATCTAATTGTTTATTCTGTGGTTCCGTGTGAATGAATAACTATTTAATCTATTATGGTTTGAATTATTGTGAACCCGATGTTGTGTTGCCTTATTTGGTGTGCGTTGCTAGTTTACGTATTTATGTTGATTGGGTAATTGAGACTAAGAAAAATAAGGATGGTATATGAATTTATAAGTGGATAAGTCGACAGCCTCACTAGATATCCTGGGAGATGATGGACGGACTGGGTCCATAGGGAACCCTACTGGGAACGTGGTTTCTCATATCAGACGGGGTATGGAGACTTTATGTGTTTTGGCACCCATAACGGACAGGGTATGGGGACGGCTCGTTTCACCCTCATACCGGACGGGGTATTGCGGTTTATGATTTTGGCGCCCATACCGGATGGGGTATGGGGACAGCCTTGGAATTAAGTTATTAATGTGAATAGTTCACATGTAGTGGAGACCCCCTATGGATCCCCATGGATACTAGTAGGCTGATAAAAGAGGAAATTTGTTGTCTGATGATTGAAATACAAAAACATGATATGTGTTATGTTACAGAGTGTGTGTGATCTTATGATATTTATGATGTAATTATTTTCATAAATTGTTTTCATGAATCTCATCGAGGTAGGTGGATAGTAAAGGGTTTTATTATTGATAAATGAATTTGTTATAAATTATGCTCCATTGGTCGTTTTTGTTTTCTACCAACCTTTACTTCTGTGACAGTGAGATAGTGTGATGTTTTTACTGGGCTAATGTAGCTCATTCCTTAACCATTTCAGATCAGGAGGACTTGGTTCCCAAGCCCGTTCTGCAGGAAGACGGTGAGTAGAAGCCAAATAATTTAATAGTTTTCCTTATAGCATTCATTCATAGTATTTCCTTTAAGTTAGTTTATTCTTTCATACATTTAATTCGTTTTGGTTATTGTGTAAGGGATGTTAATCAAAATCTATTTTATTTCGCTTCCGCATTTAGAATAAATATATACATTTCCTTTTAATTTCCGAGGCCGTTACAATTTCAATAATGAATATAAATAAGAACACAACAATCAGTAGAAAAATCTCGTCGGAATCATGTGCCTAATCACCAATTATTAAACGTCACAATTTTAATATCTTAGAAAGATTAAACTACATTTATAAACACTTACGCACTTACCTGATTTCTATCTAAATCTCTTTCATGAAATTATCTTTGATATACAAGATCAACATATTATAGTGACATCTATATTAGGTTAGTAATGAGCTGATTATCTTCTAATTTCAAACACCTGTGTATGGACTTGTTCCTAATTATAAACCAAATACATAATTTGTTGTATTAAAATTAAATAAGATTAATAAATCTTAAATCTAAAACAGTAAACTATCAGGATTTTTTGAACTCACTTACTTGAACCGAGTCCCTAGAACTCATCGCGTGCAACCAATGGAAGTATGTGTGCCTCCACATGCGCTGCCACCGGATAGCCACATGCCACCGCCAGTCGTCACCGTTCGCCGCTACGGATCGGTCGAATTTCACCGCAGAGTGCCTCGCACCTTCGGATCCGGCACAAAACTGGTGGAATCGCGTCGGAAAGAGCAGTAAAACGACCAAACATGTCTAGAATCACCGCACGGGCCATCTTCCTCTCCTGCGCACCGCCGCGCGCAACACCGCCCTTTCTTCCTCCTTTTTCCTCTTCTCCTTCCTCCCCTCCTCTCTCGGCTACCAACTGACGGTAGTCGCAGCCCTTCTCCCTCTGTTTTCTTCTCTCTCTCTCTCTCTCTCTCTCTCTCTCTCTCCTCCTACACCGATCGCCTCCCTTTATTTTTATAAAGAGGGACGGGAGGAGTCTTGCATGATTCTTTTTTCCCGTCGTGTAGGTCTCCTCTCCTCATTTCCTGGCTGGTGGCAAATGCGCGTACGCCCCTCTGCCTTTTCGCCTTCCCCGACTAGAGGCGAATGCTTCTGTTTTTTTTTTATTTTTCTTTTTTCCTAAAACGGCGCCTTTTTGGAGGGTCTCCCAAAACGACGTCGTTTTGGGTTTATTACAATATATCTTGTGGTATCTAACATAAAAATTTATCTAATAAAAAACACCCATCTATTTAACTAGTTGTCACATTACAAATTCACAAATAATATTAATAACTAATACATATATCCTTTAAAAATAGAGAGACAGACAAACAAAGAATACTATTTTATAAATTAATTTAAATATTTAAAAATAATATAAAGACGAATTTAATATTTAAACTTTTGCATTTATATATCAAGAGCATAAATAAAAATAAGTTTAGTTTCTCACTTAAAAGTTTAAGCTACTTATGAAAATTTGAAATAAGTAATATAACCATGAATTCGTTATTATAATTTGGTCACCTTGTATCAATATCCTTTGTGGCTTATGAACATATAGACATGTTATTGATAGAAAAATCATGTGATCAATAATGATCTATCAAATATGAGTCACTTGATCGTCCTACTATTATTAGCTTCTTAGAAACTGTTTAAAAATTGTCTAAAATTACATGGAAAAAAAATCACTACGAGTTCATATCCTCATTACAAGTAAATATTTCAATTTTTAACTAAAAATTCTCATTTTAACCCAAACTAGATATCTATATCATGTTATGCACGAATTATAAATTATAGTTAATTAAAAATCAAACTCTATTTTTATATTTAAAAATTTTAAATAAATAATTATTATATATATCATTATAATTATTTTTGTCCTAAAAAATTATATAGTCTCTAATTTATAGTCAATTAAAATTAAATTTTATTTTATTATTTTAAAAATTCAAAAGAGATGATTATTATGCATATTGTCATATTTTTAAAAGTTGAGTGGGTAATATCTAAAATTTTATCTTTAGATAATTTATATTTTTATATATTATATACAATTATAATTATTACATTAATTCTATTTTTATATTTTAAATTTGAAGTAGATAACATATAAATTTTATATTTATATAATTTATATATTTATAATTAGTTTTAATATAGTATTTTTATTTTTTATTTAAAAAAAAAAAGACAAAAAAAACGTTTTTCAGTATTATATATATATATCTATATATATATATGTATGTATTGAAATGTCTCTCTTTGCCGCGGTTGCTGGAAAAACATTTTAAAGTAAAATTTATTTGTATTTACATATATAAAATAATAAGAAATCCTCTTAATTTACAATAACAATACTATTAATAAATAATAATAATACACTTTAATTTATATTAAACTTAATATTAAGAATTAAAAAAGTTTTAAGTATTTATTCTCCTTAAATACTTCTCTTTCTGATGTTAGACAAAATTTGATAACTAAATTTAAAATATTTTGTAAACTACATATAATAATTTTGTTTATTAAATATATATCTTTATTTACTCACTCATATTAACAGAGAATTTACAAAATAAAAGTAAATATTTTAGAAGATGTTGATATATAAAAGAATTTTTTTTTTAAAGTATGTTGATGTTGATTATAATTAATTAAGTAAAAAAAATGAGAGTATGATAAATATGTAATTTTTTTTTTATAAAATAAAGAGGATAAATATATATGTATATATATATCTAATCTTAGTACGAATCGTGGGTGGACTTTTATGAAAACGTCTCCATCACTGTTTTGATAAAAATCACGTTCGCTCCTCCCTGTTTCTCGACTTGTTAGCCAACAAACGTGGTTTACTCTTGCGCCCATTCACATCCCTGAATCAACATGCAATTCCACTTGTATATAGAAAATTCATTTTTATCTGCTTTAACCTTACCTTTTAACTCATTGGAAAGTTGGAATCACCTTTGTCAGAAAAATCCTATGCATATGGTTTTAACCTTTTTCATCTTTGCAGGTCTTTAAAGAGGCAAAACAATTCTTGGTCCGCAAGAATCACCGGATATTTATATATATATATATATATACATATACATATATGAAATTTGAAATTTGAGAACAAAAAGATAAGAGATGATTCTTACAGGGTGGAAAATAAATTTGGAGAAGGAGCATTACCAACCATGATCATACCATTCATACCTTCCTACCAACCATCATATTATTGGTACAAGAAGTTGGTAGGCTATGTTATTCTTTCTAATGAACGTACTCCTAAAATCAAACTTCTCACATTCTTTTCTCTCCCCATCACCCAACAACTGAACGGTGCCTATATTCAACCCAACCCAGAAAAACAAATTGGAAGGATTCAAAAGAAAAGCATATAATAGTGGTGGTAGTTTGGGTAATGATGATCATGATTAGACTGGACCAGCCTTCAATTATTATAATTTATCAATTAAGTAAAACAAAAATCAAATTCAATTTCAATTGAATATCTCTCTATGTCACAAATCGCACTCTGTACTCTCTACAAATCTCCTATGTCAATAACCAATCTGGGTTTTTATGGCTCCAAATGAACAGGCAAAACTGCACTTTTTGATCCCCTACCATGGCCGAAAGAAAACAAAGATCTCTTCACTCTGCTGCTGCAACCGTCAACAGGACTAACCTCACTCACTTGGCTTTTCTGTTGGATAGCTTGTTGAACTGCCAAATAAAGCTGTCGATCCGTGGATGAGTCCATTGAAAATGACCTCCTAATAGGTTGAATACAGAACTGATCATCTTTGCCTCTGATGTCAATGCATTCATCCCCCATGCTTGTAACCTTATGGAGCTTCTTCATTCTCGACGAAGGAGGACTGATTGACCTTGTGGGTAGTAACTCTCTTGAATTTGAATTCAGCCTCTCTTGAGCTGCAAACAACGTGGAATTACGGTTTCCTAATTCAATCACAACAAAGTCTTCATCACCTCCGATTTCAGGATTTGGATCTCGCGGGGAAGAGTTAGGAGCCATGATTTGATCAGGAGAGAACCTTGTCGTCGTTGAAATGCCTGTTCTGCAAAGTGGGCAGTTGGCATTATTTTGAAGCCAAACATCGATACAATCTATGTGAAATACATGGCTACAGTTTGGTATTTTCCGCAGCTTCTCATCTTCCCGGAACTCGTTTAGGCAAACGGCGCATTCACAGAAGCTTCTTGTTCCAAAATCTCTACTATTACCTTCTGCTCTTTCTCTTTTCTTGAACTGAAATATGGGGATTGACCGAATGACAGACTCGTCCAATCCTCGAGTCTCCACTGCTGGAGCGTAAACCACTAGGAGCTCGGTTCGCCGCCTTCTTGAGAGAGAAAATCGCCTGAGGATATCAATGCGGTGCCAATTAAGGCAGCATTTGATGACGAAGATGTAGTAGCTAACCAGCAAGAAAGCAGTGGCTAAGATTCCTATAATGGCAATGGCTATAATGGGGAAACTTGTGTCAGATGAATGCAAACGAGGGCCGAAGATTGAGGTTCCTGGAGGCAGAGCTTTTGGATCCATCAAACAGGGTTCATCAAATCCAACAAAGCAGCTTAGATCTCTTGAATACCCACCAAACACAAAACTCCAAATCAATTTAAAGAAAAAAAGAAAAAAAAGAAAAGCCAGGAGGAGGAGAAAAAGAAGGAGGTAAACCAGAGAAGAGATGAAGTGTGAAGGAAGACTGAAGAAGATGGAGAAAGGAGAAGGCAGGCGAGAGGGAAAAGTTTGCAGTTCGATGAAAATGTGGTGTTTACTTTTTAATTCAAAACAAAGAGAGCAGAGAGAGTACGTGGTAGTTGTTGAATTTCTCTCCCCATAAAATTATATTTGTCTCGATTATTGTAATTTTATTTATATAAAACGTAACAGCAGCGTATGGATGAGTTGATATTTAAAATTAAAAAATAAATAAGAATGGAGAGGAAGTGTATAGAATCAAGTTGGTGGGGGACCAACTGTTAATCTTCTTCATTGATTTCAGACTCTGAACTAAACTATTAGATTCCGTGTAATGCATGTGGTTTATGTCGCTAATTTATCAAATCTAAATTTACCCATTTTTGTAAATATTTTATACTACACATATTACAGAGTACCCACCCACCTTATATATATATAGGCGGATATTTCTGGTCTTTAAAAAAAAAAAAAAAAAAGTGTAGATATTAAAAGTCAAAGACTGTTGAAACAGTGAGTAAAAATAATTTCTTACCAACCGTTGAAATTTGGTGGGTGGCAATAATTTAGGTTTCAATTATTAATCACAAACTATTTCATTATTATTACTTGTGATGATTAGTTTATCAACCCAATTAGCCTAATCAAAAAAAGCACCAACAAACTAGTAAATTTTAATGAATAATTAATGATTCACAAAAAGAAAATATATAATAGTGCCTTTTTTAAGATCTTCAATCACCAAAAGCCTCTCAATTTTAATCCACCACTAATTACCGTCTGATTAATTATACACAATGAAGGGTGTGTGGGCCCCAGGACGGAAGTTTTTTAGTCAACACAGAGGCTGCTCTATTTTCACACAAAAGTCAAATTCTCCAAAACCAACACAACCGACACCTTCCATGCCTGGGTGTTGACGAGTTGCAGACTACGTAGCCTGACCCACAAGGTGGAGAAACACTTTTCACCGTCAAAGATTTTGGCCTTTCAATTTCTTTTTCTGGTCGGGAAAAGAAAAAAGATTTTGTTCATATAGCTTTTAATATTATATACTAATTTAATTAATGAAAAACGCTAATTAGATTAAGGGGTCTTATACATTTCAAAACATCTACGTGATAAATACGTATACTATGTTAACTTTACGGGCATATACATATGGTCATTGTGTTTGTATTCTATCCTTTCGAAAATAATTCAAACAAGCAAGAACCAGTCCATGTTCCTAACTTGGTCTTCAAGTTAGTTGACTTTGCAGTCACCGATTATTTAATGACTGGCTTCAATTTTTGAATCCACTGTAAATGGTTCTACTCATCAATTTCCCTCACTATTAATTGTCTTCCCTCTGCGTATAGAAAATTTATTCTTGTTTTATTAAAATTTTATTCAAAATCTCTTTCTACAAAAACAAGAGTAATTACGTTAATTATAAGCTTAACGGTAATAATTATTCTTAATTTTTTTTTTTTTTTTTTTAAAAATCACTTTGAGAATTTAACTAATATATGATTTTATATGAGAAAAAGAGAAAGCAACTCTTGCAGGAGGGCTCATATATAAAAGGTTCTATGATATTGTAAAATTAATGTTTCAGGCTGGTGATACTTAGGAATGCCAGTCATCCTCATATTTCTAACGCTAATGTAATCACCAAGAGCGTGGATAATTGATTAAGAAAACAATTAACTCTTGGGATGCAAAGAATAATTAATTCAATGACAAAATATTTGGTAACTCGATCAGAAGAAAAAAAAAAAAAAAAGAATTCATTTGTTATTAAGAGCATTTGACATTT